GTTTCTTCCAAGCTGCCCCAGAGTTGGGACTTTCTACCTAGGTAAGAGTCCATTGTTAGAGTAGTTGCCAAGAGATAGAGTTGGGAGTAGTTGTTGTTCTTCTTTGATATTTCTTTCTTGGCCTTTACTCCTTCCTGAGCTTCTCTAAGAGAGGGTTCCAGTCTTCTCTGAGTCTATACTGGTGGCAGGTAAAGGTCTTATCAGGTCTTAGTACCCATGTCCACAAGGTGAGGTTTTAGTGGCCTTAGGGCTGTTTTATTATTTCCCTGGAATCCATTGCCGTAGGGGGCTCTTCCCTAATTACCTGACTGCCTGCTTCATGTTGTCTTTTGTCCTTTGTTGCTACCATGTTTTGATCTTGAAGTCTCACATATCATTCTGCATCTATCTGTTACCTTCAGACTGAGTTAGGAAACAGCTAGTATTTGGGGAAATTGTGTTGTGATGAGAAAGTTAACTCATTGACTGTTGGTGAAAACGTCATCTTGTTCAATATCTATGGAAAGCAATATGGAGATCTCTCAAAAAAGATAGTACTAGAACTCCCATATAACCCAGTGATACCGTATTTTGTCACCTATCCCCAAAACACAAAACATTAATTCAAAAGGATATATGCACACCTATGTTCATCACAGTGTTTAGTACAATAAATAAGATATGGATCCAATGAAATTAAGAAGTGTGGTGTGGGATAATGTTGGTTTGTCCTTTCTGCCTTGCAATAGGAAGCTTAGATTTATTGGGTTTCTCCCATCACAGTGCTCCTGAGGCATTCCCATTACTCTGTGTTTATTCGTAATCTCTTTCTTTGTGCGCTGCTTCTCCAGCTGGTCAGTCACTTTTATCTCCTAAAGTTATCTCTGCTAACTTATAAATATTACTTTTCTCTTCGCCTTAAGTCCTTCGAATAGTTAATTCAGAGCAATGTCCTTTTTGTATAGAAAACAGTTAATGCTGCACTTTTATAACTTAGGAGGTAATTGACTCCGAATGATATTCACTCCTAGGCATCTGTTTTCTCGACTAAAACCTCAGTTTCCTTTACTTCCTAGCACCCCAAAAGCAGGGTCCCGACAAGGGATTGGATGGACCCAGGACAAGCTGTGAGCTACCCTGGCATCAAAATGGGCCAGGTCAAAGCGCCATAATACTTAACTATAAGTTAAGAGCATGTCATGGACAAATTCTTTCATGATTCAAAAAGTTAACAACTAGATAGGAAAAATTAAATTGGCCTGAGCACTGTAGTCTGAGATCTATAGCGAGATGCCCCCAGGAGAGCCATCCTATAAGTTTAATGTATCTCTTGCTATTTCCATACAAAATAACTAATATTAAGAAGTAGAATTAAGATGTCAATTAAGATGTTAATTGAGTTCTTGGACTAAGAAAAGGAGAAAGAAAACCTCTAAGTGGCATTTTGCCCTTGAGCTGATGCCCTGGCTGCAGGCTGTCAGGAAGGGCTTTCATATGTTGATTGTGCTACTGGACACAACCACAAGGTGTGGTTGCTACAGCCAAGGTTTGGGATGTTGGGGAGAGACTAGAGGAGAGACCAAGGCAGCAAGTCAGTCGGAGCACAGAAAGATGAGTGAGGGAGGCAGGAGACAGGAATGAGGGGCAGTATGAAACCTTCTCCTTCTCCTCCTCTTCCTTCTCCTTCTCCTCCCTCTCCTTCTCCTTCTCCTCCTTCTCTCTCTCTCCTTCTCCTCCTTCTCCTTCCTCTCTTCCTTCTCCTCCTCTTCCTCCTTCTCCCTCTCCTCCTTCTCCTCCTTCTCCCCCTCCTCCCTCTCCTCCTCTTCCTCCTCCTTCTCCTTCTTCTCCTTATCCTCCTTCTCTTCCTTCTCCCTTTCCTTCTCCTTCTCCTCCACATATTCCTTCTTCTCCCTCTCCTCCTTCTCCTCCTTCTCCTTCTCCTCCTCCTCTCCCTCTCCTCCTTCTCCTTCTCTTCCTTCTCCTCCTCCTCCTCATCCTCTTCCTTCTCCCTCTTCTTCTTCTCCTCCTTCTCCCTCTCCTTCTCCTCCTTCTACTTATCCTTCTCTTCCTTCTCCCTCTCTTTCTCCTCATCCTCCTCCTTCTCCCTCTCCTCCTTCTCCTCCTTCTCCTTTTCCTCCTTCTCCTTCTCCTTCTCCTCCTTCTCCTCCTCCTCCTCCTCCTCCTCTTCTTCTTCTTCTTCTTCTTCTTCTTCTTCTTCTTCTTCTTCTTCTTCTTCTTCTTCTTCTTCTTCTCCTCCTCCTCATCCTCCACCTCCTCCTCCTCCTCCTCCTTCTCCTTCTTCTCTCTCTCATTCTCTGTCTCCCCCGCCCCATTTTGTGCATTATGTTTTGCAATACAGGGACTAAAAAGTTATCATATCTGTCCCTTTATTAGCTTTCATCACTCAGTTCTTGTTCCGAGTGATCATTTACAACTGTTATTTTCATAGTGGCTCCTTCTATATCCTAACAGCCCTCCACCCCCCACACTACTTTGGCAAGCTTCAAACCATGGACCATTA